TTTCCATTAAGTCACCCACCAAAAACTGAAAAGCAAACTTCACATTGTACTTAATGTACCTTAGTCTCCAATTTCAACAAAAACTACTGAGTTTAAAAAATCCTCTGTTGAGGCATCAGAGGTTAAGGGGGAAGGTGAACTTCTCCAGCAGGTTCCTCCAGGGGTAAAAACCTGGGGTGAACACATGGAACTCATCCCCTAACTCTGGCCCTTCTTCAAGTTGTTCTTTTTTTGGTACCGGGGATAGAACTCAGGTCCTTGCGCTTGTGCAGCAGGCAGCTAAACCACTGAGCTAAATCCCCAGCCCTTCAAGCTCTTCTTAATTGTACTACACAGCTAGAAAAGGTTAAAATTTATGCACTAACTAGAATGCAGGTTGTTAAAAGTTTTACCATAAGGAAAACAAATTTTTTATACACTGTTTTATTAGCAAGGCTATCTAAAAAATCATATTATCACATTTTCTTTATATATGAAATGAACATTTTCTTTATGAAAAATGAGCATTTTCTTATATATGAAAAATAGACTTATTTTAATAATAATAACATTTATTATGATACAGATCTGTTCAAGTAGCATAAAAAATAATGTTGCTATAAGCAAATCTGGTTAAAAAGTGCATAGCCACATCTCAGTACTTTTGCAATACTTCTTTCCTTGTTGTTTCCTATTACTGGGACTGAACACAAGGCCTTACACTGAGATTATTTTATTTTGAGACAGGGTGTTGCTGCATTGCCTCGGCTGGCGTCAAACTGGCCCTCCTCCTGCCTCAATGCTACCTAGGTAGGTAGCGTTACAGGTATGCACCAAAATTCACAGCTTCACCACTATTTACTTAATTAGTGTTTTCTTTAATGAGACTTTAATATTCTAAGCAAAAATCACTTTTTCAATCTAAAATTTTCTTTTCTTCCTTTTTTTCCTTTTGTTGTTCTGGAGATTGAACCCAGGCCTCTCCACTGAACTACACTCCCAGTTCTTTTTTTAATTTTTAATTTTGATACAGGGCCTCAGTCACTAAATTTCCCAGGCTGGCCTTTAAACTGCCTCAGCATCCAGAGTGCTAGGATTACAGGCTTGTGCTACCACACATGGCTTATGTTTTCTCTCTCCTTTAAGAGATGGAGTTTTGCTGTGTTACCCACACTGACATTCCAATTCCTCAGTGATCCTCATGCCTGAGCCTCCTGAGCAGCCAGGATGACAAGCCTACCGAACTGTACCCTGCTCTAATACCTCACTTGAATTATATACATAAGAGTCACATGTTCCATGAAAATTCATGTGTGACACAAAATACAAATAATGAATACATACCTTTAAGTTAACTAAACCCAAGACTATAATCCAAAGAAATTGGTATACAAATTGAAATGGTATACATTAAACACAGTACCAATACTTTAAACAGCACTGGAAAATATTTACTAGTTATAATTTTTCTCAGAAATAATATTCACTTGTAAATGCCCCCTACTCACAAGAATTAGAATTCCTTAAGTCCATGAATAAGTTTATGTTTCACGATTGGTTTTTTAATATAAAGCACAACAGTGTATTGGAAACTGAATATCTACATTAATATCTATCCATTATTTATTCTTGTCAAAAAATTCCAAAAATTGGTCTAAGTTCTCTTCCAATTACTTTCTACTTTAACCCCACTTCACCATCTAAAACAGTATACCCAAGCAGTGGCTGTCCTATCAATTTCTGGTCATGGATAGAAGTTATCAACAAAAGGATATTTAACCCACTGTGCTGCATTGCCCACAATTTAAAAACAGAGATAGAAATTCCACTCCATCTCTAAAGAAACAGCACTATTACTAGATTGAGTAATAATATATAGATAGATACATAAAAAATTTTTTTGAGACAGAGTCTTGCTATGTAGTTCAGGCTAGTCTTGAACTCACTGGGTAGCCTAGGCTGGCCTTAAACTCTCATACACCTTCCTGCCTCAGCCTCTTGAGTTCTAGGATTACAGGCATGTGCCACCATACTCAGCTTTGTGTATATGTGTTTTAAAGTTGTCTATGGGGAGAGCTTTTCTATAGTGCTATATTTAACGTTTAGATCACGACTCAGCAGAAAAAAATCTAATGTATATTTTGAAGAATATGGAATGATTATTATAAAATGACTCAGACATTTAATAATGTTTTAAAAATTATGTAAAATTATGAGGCACTAGAGTGGATTGGTCGGCTCAAGAGCTTCTAACATGCATTACTGTAGCACAGAGGTAGGAAAGTCAAACCCTGTAATCCTTAACCTCCCATAAGGGGAGGGTTCTAATACAATTTCGTCAGTCAGTGAGGTACACTCACCTGAGACTTTTAATCAGCAGTCACATGGGAAGAGGAGCAGGGCCTCAGGCTTCCATTTTTGCTGAATCAAAGATGGCACAGCTCCCAACTGTTCAGACTTCCTAATCCACCAGGCAGCTTACTGATCCTGAAGGCAGCTTTTTGATTGTTCCAAAAGCAGCAGTTCCTTGGGCAGCCCATTCTTGTGACATAGTTCCTAATACCTGGCTTAAGTCTGCTTCTTCAGGAGAAATCTGAAAACCTCCCAAAGATTCTGTGAGCTATGTATACTTCTTACTCAATCCCTTTATGATGAAAGAAAAAGAAGGTTCTTCTCAAAGAAGGACCCTTTACTTAAAACCAAGAGTCATGACCAATAGAGGATTTGGTAGCTAAAAGTAACGTGCAGCAAGTAAAAACATCTTAAATATAGGGTTGGTGTTGGGTGTGTAACTCAGTGTTATGCCACACGCTTAGCATGCGTTAGGCTCTGGAATTGATCCACTGCACCCCAAACAGAGGGAAACTGATTTAGTTGAGGAGATAGGGCTTTACAATGAGAACTCCACCAACCAAGATTAAAATATCTGACAAAGAAATCATTTCACCATATCTGAAAAGTTCTTTCAGAAAGCTAATATGTGTTGCCTACTTGTTACCTCTTTTAGCAAAGTGATATATGATAGATGCGCCTCAGGCTAAGGCCCACAAGCCTACAGAGAGGTAGAAGGAATAGATCTTTGCTAAGGGAACTGGTCTCTGTCTGCAGTATGAATTGAGAAAGCCTTAAATTTGGAGCCCTGCAGAATCAATATGTCAACTACTACTGTACTCCAAACTAAAATGGTTATAAGGATCTGATAACCTTCTCTGCCAATGCTTCCTCAACCCTTTCAAATAATTTTCCTTAAGATTTTCCTATCAGGTAATTGGAGCCATCCTGGGGGAAAGAATGTGGCCATTCTATCCTGTAGTTAGAAAGCATCTTGAGTATATACCACTCCTTTGAAACTCAAAAAGATCACATTAAAAGATCATTAAAAGATGCATTAAAAGATCACAGAGATCAGCAAGTAAATCATGAAGTTCTTGAAAACTGTATCTTTCACCTATGTTAAAGTGAAGTTTTGACTGTGGTTGCTCATGGAAATAACTGAAGAAAAAATTCAAAACCTTATTTTTTAGGGAACTACTTGGAAAAAACAACTGGAAAACAATAACAACCTAACTCTAGCATGCAATACCCTATGATTGTGAAGCCCCTAAAATCAGCCTCAACCCCCAAGACCACAATAACAGAAAATCACATGCTCAGACTGGGCAGCTTCCCAGAAGGGCATCCTTGCCAAGGCCCCTTCATATTCAACAAAACTCCCTTTACAGGGCAAAGCCACAAGCCCCTGAGGGCATTAGATAAAGAAGTTGCACTCTGAAAGGTGAATCAGGGGTTGTCTCATGGGAAAACCGAGTAATACATTCATAAACTATAGCACAGAGTCTTTACTGGTTTTTGGCAAGAAGTACTTCTTAATTGCTACAGAGCAGCCACTACTATGTTCCTGATTTTTGCCTTTTCTAAAAGATCAATTTTATTGCAGTTTTCCTGCACCTGTGCATTATGCTTGCTGTGCTTTTGGGAAAGAAAAGTTGCCTTTTAGTCTATAGGTGGACCTATACCCCAACCTCAGGGAGGGGATGATTCCTAGATATCATGATCTTGAAGCTAATATGCAAAAATGGATTGCATTTCTGGTAGTTTTTTTCTTGGTGTTGGAGGAGTGAAATGTTTTTCTGTCTCTGAAGAAAAATGAACACAAGAGATTTAGGTAGCTAACAAAACTGATTTCGTCTAAAACTGAAAGGTGTCAATCAAATATTTCCTTTTTTCCTCTTCCTTAGTAAAAAATAAAACAAAACAAAACCCTTAACTCTTAGCAGGTCACATTGCCCTGTGGATTTCTGGCTTCCTTAGCAACTAATGTTGTCACGTGACACAGTTCTGGCCAGTGAGCTGCAAATCCAAGGGCTGCAGGTTTTTGAAAACTACTTGAAGGCAGCTGATGGAACTGGGGAAAGTTCCTGGCAATTTCCCCTTTTTTTCAGCAGCTAAGTTTGACAGCTAGAGGTAACTCGAGGATAAAAATCAGGACTGAGGATAGCAGAACAGCAAAATAAGAATTTGATACCACCTACTTCTAGGTTTCTTTTATGTAAGGGGAAAATTTCTCTGCTATCTTGGTTTGCTGTTACTTGTAGCAGAACCTAATTTTAAATGATAAAGTATAGAGAAAAATATGAATGAAAAATGACCTGAAGTGGTACGAAAGCTATTTAGTTGAAGAACTTCTAAAGGATATAGGTGGCTAAAGAAAGCTAAAAGTTATCAGGAAACCCTGGGGAATACTATGGCCTTTATAGAGTAACTTTATATCAAAGAGACATTGATTCAAAGGCCATAACGAGCATCCATAAAGGAATACCTATCTTTATAAATGGGAGCAATTTATTGAAAAAGCCATAGGCAGAGATTTTTCACTTAGTTGATAGTTTCATTCATTATAGCGTGAACCACTTCACCACTAAAGGAAAACAAAGAATAAAGAAGGGAGGTACAAATGGAGGAGTGTTTCCTTCCTGGCTCTGGTAGATTTCAATCCTTACATAAGTGTCCAAAAAACAGTGTTCTCATTTTAAAGGTATCTTCCTTTATTCCAAATATGCCTTAAAATATTTATTGAGCAGAAAGAAAAGGAGTTAAAAGATAAAACAGATGTTGAATGAACAGCTTTCTTCCAAGTTCTGGTGGACTTCGGAACTTTAAACATCTGTTCAAAAGAAATACGCTCTGTTCAGAAGATATTCATTTTAAACATATCTTCCTTTATTCTCACTTACTTGCAGATATATCAAGTTATTTTTAAAAAAATTGTAGCTAATCATAGGTTACAATGTTAAAACAAGTTATCTGGTAAGATCAATATAATTGATAAGAAAGACTTATGAATCATGTTGAAATAAATCATTTCACCATAAATATGCTTACTGAATTTTATAGCATTTTTAAAAGGCTGATACATAAATTTTTGAGTTATCATTGTCCTATCATGGAAATTTCTCTGTTTCTAAAGCCACATAGAAAAATATCTAATAATCTAAAATTATAATATATTTGAAATAAATATGGATATCACATTTACAGTGGTTTATTTCCATAAATAAAAAAACAAAAATAAAATTACATACGGGGCTCAAGCTTCTGTTCTCCAGTTGGACCTGATGGAGCGATTCCTTGTTGTAACTTTCTTTGTTCCATTTGCTGTACAGCCTGGCGAATGGAAAAAGAAAATCTCATAAATAAGTATTATTTGACTTTCTGTTATATGCGTGGTCTTGGACAAAGCACAATAAACTGACTAGAAATTGTTTTAGAAGTGAAAATTTTAAACTCTAAAATTTAAGAAAATATTCTAAACAGTGGTTTAAAAATACTAAAATTTATTTTTAAAACCAGGTATTCTTTATCTAGTCTCCATGTGATGGGCATTTGGCCTGTTTCCAAGTTTTAGCTATTAAAAACTGTGCTGCTATGAACATGGGTGCACATATATTGCTGTGGTATGATTCTTTTAATTCTTTTAGGAAGATACCCAGTAGAGGAATAGCTGGGTCAAATGGGACCTCTAGCCCTAGTTCTTTGAGGTATCTCCATACTGATTTCCACAGTGGTTGCACCAGTCTACACTCCCACCAACAGTGGAGAAGGGTTCCTCTTTCCCCACAGCCCCACCAGCATTTGTTATTGGTTGATTTCATGATAGCAGCCATTCTTTCTGGAGTGAAGTGGAATCTCAGTGTTGTTTTCATTTGCATCTCTCAAATGACCAGTGATGTTGAATATTTTTTCATCTGTTTATCTGCTATTTCTACTTCTTTGTCTGAGAAATGTCTGTTCATTTCAGATGCCCATTAGTACTACTCAGCCATAAATAATGAGAAATTAGAGACATTTATAGCTAAATGGATGTACATTGAGGTGATATTCTTTTGTTTGTTTGTTTGTTTTGTTTTGGGGTTTTTTTGGTACTGGGGATCGAACTCGGGTCCTTGCGCTTGCACAGCAGGTGGTGAAACCACTGAGCTAAATCCCCGGCCCTGAGGTGATATTCTTAAGTAAAATAAAAATAGGACACACATGTGTAAATACCAAATAGTTTCTCTGCTGTGAGAAACTGAAAGTGTAAATAAGGATCAAAAGGCATAATAGATAATGGGAAATAGGAAGAAAAGGTCCAAAGGGGAAGGGGAAGTGGGAGGGATTGGGGAAAGGAAAGAAGGCAATAGAATTAATATAAGAAAATGAAAAAATGGAAACAAGGTCTTTGTAAATGGGGAGGGGTGGAGGGGCTGAAGGGAGAGCAGTGGAATGGGGAAAAAATAAGAACTAAGATATATTATGTAAAGGTACAAATTTCCAATGATGAATGTCATCATATTGTATACCTAAAATGTACCAACAAAATTAATTTCTAAAAAAATACTAAAATTTAAAATATGATAATAGTATATTGAAATATTACAACAACAGAGGTTTTCAGCAAAGCAGCTAATATCTGGGCTTTTTTTTTTTCTATTTTTCAGTGATGGTGATGGAACTGTTTTTACATATGCTGAGCACACATTCTACCACTGAGCTACATCGCTAGCCTCTAACATTCTTTTCCTTTTCTTTTTTTGGAGACAGTGTCATGCTATGTAGCACAGAGTGGTCTCAAATTCCTTGAGCAATTCTCCTTACTCAGCCTCCCAAGTAGCTAAAAATACAGTTTTTGCCACTGTGTCCAACCTTCAACATTCATTTTAATGTCATAGTCCTTTTACAAATCACCACCTGATGATATTCCTGCTTCTGAGCCTCCAGCTGGTCATGCTGACGCTGTAGCTCTTCTTTCTGTTTCTGAAGCTCATCTGCCTTCTTCTTAAGCTCATTTTCTTGGAAAGCAATAATATTTTCATATTCTTTTAGTTCTTCCTCCGTGAAGAGTTGTTGCTGATCCAGTGTCTAAAAGAAAATGAAATTGAGAAAACAATAATTGTAGAAATTGGCCGGGGGATTTAGCTCACTGGTTTCACCGCCACCTGCTGTGCAAGCGCAAGGACCCAAGTTCAATCCCTGGAACCAAAAAAAAATAAATAAAATAATAATAATAATAATAATTGTAGAAATAGAGTAATAAGGTATGATTTAGCTTTAAAATTTTATGATTAGTAAAATATAAGAGTATCTATGATATGCCTTTTGTGTAAAAAAGGAGGAATGAGAAATATATATTTATGTATTCATTTGAGCAAAAGAAAAAACAGGAAGAAAACTCAGACTAAAGGGACTGCATAATAAAGGTCAATGGTAAGAATTGGGTAGGAAGGACAAAAATAGTGCAGGAAGGGACATAAAACTTTTAATACAGATTCAATTTTTGAAAAACAAATCTTTAATATGCTTTTTCTTTTTCTTTTTCTTTTTTTTTTTTGGTACTGGGGATTGAACTTCGGACCTTGCGCTTACGAGGCAGGCGGCAGCATCACTGAGCTAAATCCCCAGCCCTTTTAATATACTTTTTAAAAAAGGAAAGAAAACTGACAAGGACAGGAAAACCCCAACTTGACTATAAAAACAGAAGCAAACAAATAGTATTTTTATTTTAATTAATAAGATAACTCACAGTAGGGGAAGGGGAAAGGGAAAAACTAATCCAAAAAATTCTTGATCACAGTATTTGGATAATATGTCCTCCAGTAAAAAAACAAAAACAAAAATCTAAAGAACTACTGAACTCTTCAAACATTTTAGAAGCATGGATCGGGAATTCTGAAATCTTTGTACATTCTAGGATTGAAGATTTAAGTGAAATATTTTTGTGTTTTCCACAACATGGAGTCTGATTTCACATAAAATATGGAAAGAGCAAAAGACAAATGCTATGTTGAAATCAGAGGTAATGGAATGAATTTGGAGATATCAATGTTAATTTTGAGAGTAGGGCACAGAAATGACAAGCCTTAAAATCTTCTTATAGCAAAGCAAAGAAGACCTCAAAGAATGATTGTGATATGTCAAAAGGATATAAAAGCCAGTTTGAAGAAATTCTCACTGGTCAAATTTGGGATAATTTGAACAAGGAAATAAAACGTAACAGTAAGGATTAAAGCTTACTGAATAAAATAAAAAGCCATGAGTCTACATTGATATAGAGATGCTGCGAAAACGGATAGCTTTTTCCTTATAGTAGAAAGCCAATTTACAAATGTAGAAGGAATTTCAACATTAGAAAAATCATCATTTGGCAACCATCACAGTAACACGTGGCTCTGATTCTGAAAGTAATAGATAATGAGACATTTACACATAGTCTTAAAGGATAGCCCTACAAGACAGTTCTTTTTTGGTAAGAGTTTTTTGGTGGAAATATAAATCAGTTCAATTATTTTCAAAAATATATCAACACAGGGCTGGGAATTTAGCTCTGTGGTTCTGCCGCCTGCCTCGCAAGCGCAAGGTCCAGAGTTCGATACCCGGTACCAAATATACACACACACACACACACACACACACACACACACATATATCTCAACAGTCTTCAAAGCATCCCATTTTCTGGACAATTGAAAATCTAAACTTAAGAGCAATGTTTTTAATTTTTTATGTGGAAAAACATCAATGTTCTTTCTTTCATCTATTTTGGATGTTACCTCCTATTAATTCTTTTAAAGCTATATATGCATTCATTTATACACAGCTGGCTGTGATATAATCTGGTATACTTTTCTGGAGCAATTTGACAAGATACATTGAGAAACTAAAAAATGTTCATAAACCTTAAGAATAATTCTACTCCTGGGAATAAATATCAAGAAAATCATCAAAGATTGTCCACATATGTATTAATAATACACAATAATAAATAAAATGAATAGTGTAATATAGTAATTTACCCTAGATTTCTAAATCTGAAAGAATGGTTATGTAAATGATGCTATAACCAAACAGCTGGTATTAGTCATATTTTAAATCATGTTTATAAAGAATGCTATTGGATAACATTCATGAAATATTATTGTTAAACAGTTTTCACTTGTATAGCATAAAGACATTTAATATATGAATACATGTGTATCTATAAATTTAAAATAAGATAGCATATATTTAATACTGTATAGTATACATATGTATATGTATAAGCTGATAATATTCCCAATACAATGCATCATTTAGTGTCTATATCTAGATGGTAGAAACACAAATGACTTCTAATTTATTCTTTTAATGTATCTATATTTAAATTTTTCAGTAACACATTATTTTATACTTACAAAAAAGTATAAGATTTCTGATTATATATAGTATGACTACAAATAAACAGATCAACTGCTGTAAGCTTTCCAAGAAGTAAGAACAGTAAGATGATACAGACAAGCATAATAGGAAATAAAAGTTAAAAGTAGAATAAACTGATGTAAAAATTCTTGACGACATATACCATTTAATATAGGTTCTATTACCTCCCAGCTATCTGGCTCCAAGAATTCCTTTTTTTCTGTAGCTTTCAAAAATTCTTCCAGAGTCACCAACCGGTCTTTGTTTGTATCAACCTGATTAAAGGAAAATGTATGCATAATATAATAGCTTTCTTAGATTACCCAGCTATTAACATGTCTTCTAATAGATGCTACTACATAAACATATAGCAAATTAGGACTAGCCTAACATTTACAGAAATTAGAAGAAAAAAATTGAAACAAACCCTCCATATTATACTAAATCAGAAAATAGGTATCTTTCCCTAATATACTATAATTTCAATTAAAAAATACAAGATACCTATGTATCTGACAGCTCACAGATCAATACATTTGAATTGGCTAATCTGACTGATTAGGCTGGTATTGTCTTGCTTTTTCACCAGAATATCTACAATTCTCCTTCTTCTTTTTTGAGGGGTGGGGGAGTTGAGACAGGGTCTCAGTAGGTAGTAAGTAGCCCAAGCTGGCCTCATACTCACAACGATCTGCCTGCCCCATCCTCCTAAGTGCTGGAATTACAGGCATGCACCACAACACTCAGCCTCTATAATCCTTCTTGCAACCAGGCAAAAATATCACCAATTTACAATGTTTTAGCCAAGCATGAAGGAGTTTAAGTTTAAATGCCCTTAACATTTTTTGCTTGAAAAGACAACTAAGTCAAAATTAAAGTCAACACCTCTCCAAATCCTCTTCAATACTTGATAGAGTCTGTGTTAAGTTCAGTTACAAAGGTGAACTCTATAGAGGCCAAAGAAATTCATTTGAAACTTGAGGTGCCACCACTCAACAGAGATTCCAACTCAGGATTAACAGCTGAAACATTCAGGTGAAAATCACCAAAGTAAAACACTGCACTTCAGATAACCTGCATATGACGTCCATTTCAGTGTTTTGCTTGGAGGGAGGAGAGCAGGTCAAGTATTGAAAAGAAAGGAAAATATTTGAATTAGGGGGATCATGGGGTCTTTCAGAAGAATGAAAATTTGAGCTCAGACCTGGTAGAAGTGAGACCATGTAATGATCTAGAGGGAGTGTTCCGCAAAGATGAAAACTTAAGTTCACGGGCCTGAAGTGGGAGCAAGTTAATGAGAGAAAAACACCAAGAAGGCCCATGTGGCCAGAGCAGAGTGAGACACAGTCATAGGACATGGGTGAGAGAGCCAGGCTGGGGAGATTGGCATCATGTCGTGAGCTTCCGGGAACAAGGAGACTGGGAATCAGACTCTAAGTAAAATGCCAGCCACTGAAGCACTCAGAGCATAGGAGCACCAAGACCTGAGCCCCTTATGCTGTTAAGAGATTACTCTGCCTGCTGTGTGGAGAAGAGACTGCAGTGGGGTAAGGAGTGAAGCACAGTGACTGGGGACTGGAAAGTAGTAGAAGCGGGGAGACCTGAACCTGTTGGAAAGGCAGATGGAAATGGACCCATAGTCAGTACAGAGTGTGAGGAAAGGAGAGGTAAAGCGTGATGTGGCTCAACCAACAACATGGATCATGATTCAGTCGATGAAGTGAAGGCCAAGGGTCTGGTGAAGATTCATATTAAACCTGCCAGGGGAGATGTCGAATAGACATTTCTGTGAGTCTAGAGCTCACAGAAGAAGAAATACGGTGATAACAATTTTGCATTCACCACCTAATAGAGCAGAGAGAGACACAAGACTTCTTCATATATCACCTAAGGAAAGAATGAAGATAGAAAGGAGATTGGCCCAGGCCGGGGATATTTAGCTCAGTGGCACCGCACCTGCCTGACAAGCGCAAAGTCCTGAGTTTGATCCCTGGTACCTAAAAAAAAGAAAGGAGATAGGCTCGAGCCATGGCAACATTTAGATCTCAGGAAGAAGAGTGACAGGCAGCAGAGAAGACTAACAAGAAAGATAATACAAAGAAACTACGAAGGTTTGGTTTCCCAGAGTCCAAGTGAAGAGATCATTTCAGGAAAGAGCAGGCAACAGATGTACCAAATGCTGAGTCCCATAAGATGAAACCCTGAATTGGAGTCTTGATGCTTTTGCGTTCTTTCTTTTTCCCAACACTGCACCTTGCTGGAACAGAAGTGTACACCACTTGCTAACACATTTGCTAAATCAAAAATGCAAAATTCAATTAAATATTTATTCTGTATATTTATTTTTCCATCTTATAGTAAGATTTATTCCAAGAACTTGAAGACTTCATAGAAATAAAAAAATACCTTAAACTTTTAAAGCATACCTCATTCATTACATGCTCCCTCATTCTAAGCCTTTCTTCCTCCATTTCCACCATATCATCCTCCTCATTTTGGGCATCATACACTTTCTCCAACTAACAAGAAAATTTAAAAATCAACATGAAAGGAGAGAAAGTAATGGAAGGGAAAAAATGTGTTAGGCTTTATATCTATATGCCCTTATATCTATATGCCCCCCCACACACATACACCAGACCCTCATGTGCTCATAGGTGGGGCTTGGAAGGTGACTGAGATTATGGGGGCTTACACTTGACTTGCTAATAGGAGGTGGGGTCTACTGAGAAGAGCAGGTCATTGGGGTGAGACCTGGAAGAGCTTATCTCCTTTCCTGGCTCTTCCCTTCCCTATCTCTGCTTCCTGGTTGCCACGAGGTAATTACTTTTCTTCCACTATCCTTCTTTCCCAGGCTATCCTACTTTGGAGCCAGTGGACTATGGACTGAAACCTCTGCAAACTGGGAGCCAAAATAACCTCTCTTCCTTCAATTCGTGGGAGTCAGGTACTATGTCTCAGTGACAAGAAAATAAGACAAAATGAGACAGGGTAAGAACACTGAGTACGTATGAAACTATTTTACCTCCTTAGTAAACAGGGCTTCTAATTCTTGTTCATCCAGGAATCCATCGCTATTGACATCTAAAGTTTAAAAGTTACAGATGCAAAAATGGATTTTAAACCCTTAGAAAATAAATGATTACAATGCAATTACTCACAAATGATTTGCACATTAGTACTAACATGAAGCAACATTATGCTGCAGGAGATTTCTCCTTTCTTACAAAGCTTCAGAGCAGCCCAGGTAGAAACAATTCTATATTTATAATCCACAATCATTTTTTATCTATCTTTTTTGAGGGGTACTAAGGATCGAACTTGGGACCTTGCGCTTGCGAGGCATGCGCTGGAACCACTGAGCTAAATCCCTGGCCCAGAAAAACATATCTTAACCATTTTTCAAAAAAGATACTGTTGAGCAATATGCTTTAGAGTAAAAGTAAATTTTAATATTATAGTGTAAACATTTTTAGATACAACATAACTAGCCACAAAATTACTTCAGTTTACAGAAACTTTGCAATAAGCCATATAATGACTCAATAATAACAGCAGATAGAAAGATAGCCATTGGTCCAAAATATTTTAATACTGCCTTTCAGCAATAAAGATTATCACATTACCCTAGAGAAAAACTCTAGGCATTTACTATTGATAGGACTCAATAACCAACCTTGGTAGAAATCACTTAAGAGTAAAGAAAATATATTTTTTTCAAACAGCAGATATAAATATCAATATTTGTATCAAATCTGTTACCATGTAATTTGAAAAATGTCTTGGGGTCAAAGTCATTAGGGTCCAATCCATCAGTCTCTTCCCATACCTCTTTTAGTTGATCTTTGCTTCCCTGTGAACCAATTTTAAAAAATTGCTCAAAACAAAATATAATCTATGTATATAGACTCAAAATAAGATATGTTTGGGGAACTTTGCAGCATTAAGGATCAAAATGTAAGTATAATAATGTGATAAAATTCTATCTGGTATAAAATCTTCATGTAAAAATGGTTTCATAAAGTCACAATTCTTACTGGATGATTAACTTTGGGATGGTTTTCATGCTTCCTCTTCATTTCTTCAAATTTAGATTCTTCTTCTTTTCTCTTTTCTTCATCTAGTGTTTTTAAATATTCTCTCCGTTCATGTTCCTTCATCATTTCATATTTTTTAAATTCTTCATGTCTAGTCTTGTCATACTGTTCCAAATCTTTTGTTGCCTAGAATTCAATAATATATTTGGTTTTTGTTTTTTTAATATAGTTGCAATTATTACAAGGGGTGTTATATCCCTGAGCTATACTCTATCACTTTTTTTTTCCATTTTGAGAGAGGGTCTTAATAAATTGCCCAGTTTGGGCTTGAATTTGCAAAACTGCCTCAGCCTCCTAAATCACTGGGATTACAGGTGTGTACCACCATTCCTGGCTCATGATGCATTTGAATTAAATTATTAAAATGTTTTGAAAGTATAAATAAAGTCACTCTTAAATATAGCAGACTCTCAGACAGAAAGTAGTATGGGAAAGCAAAACCATACTAGACTAATCTTTGTTAATTCTACCATTTTATTTTAGTCACTATTATTACCGGGGATATAAATTTTCAAAGAAATTAAAAGTACAAAGTCACTTTCACTTTTAGAGATTTCCCATAAGCAAGAAATACATAAATTAATTTAAAGAAGAAAGAGTTAAAAGGGACTGTATCAAGTCTGGATAATATAGAAAATTAGAACTATTTCTTACTGTGGCAAAATCTGAGGCCAAATATGTCTTAGAATTTTCCAGATTTCCAGATAATATGGCATATGTGCCATATTATGAGACATGCTTGCAAAATCTGTCATGAAAAAATTAGTAGTTCCTTAACAAAATCCATAAATATACTAGTAGACTAGGTAAAAACTACAAAAAACCTTTCTATAATTGGTTAGTTCAGGCTAGCTAAGTTTTAGGGGTTTTTGGGGGGGTTTTTTTTTTGTTGTTGTTGTTATTTTTGGTACCAGGGATCGAACTCGGGTCTTTGCGCTTGCGTAGGAGGCAGCGAAACCACTGAGCTAAATCCCCGGCCCAAGTTTTAGTTTTTTTCATCTTTTTGGATTTTGGAATTGTGTATAAGGGATTGTAGATCTGTACCTTCATATTGAAACCTGTACGGATAAACTTTATGCTACTTTCCTTTAAAAATACACATTCTAGCTGGGGGTTGTGGCTCATGCCTGTAATCTCAGCACTCTGGGCAGGTGAGGCAGAAGGATAGTAAGTTCCAACTCAGCCTGTGAAATTTAGAAACTGAGCAACATCCTATCTCAAAATAAAAAAAAATTTAAAAAGTGTGAGAGATGTAACTCCTTGGGTTCAATCCTTTGTACTGCCTAAAAAACAAAACAAAACAAAATCACCAATTCTAGAGGATATATATAAGTTATAATTCCACTTCAGTTTCCACTTGAGTTTACTTGTTAAATTACAAAACTACAAAGGCACAGTAAAGACCACAATTTTTGGAACTGTTCTCACCGCTTTGATTAGCATATCTAAATCTGTGGATTCAAACTTGTCAGGATTCATATGATTTAGGTGATCAAATTGTTTTAGAAGAGCTTGGTGGTCCATGCCCATATCTGAAAGAAAATGAGAAAACTATAACAACCAATTAATAGATGCTAGAAACATGAATATATACCATATATAAGGAAAAGCATTCAAATTTATTCTTATAGGATTTTTTAAAGAAAATTCAAAATTTTAGAATAAGGATTCATATTTCTATTACACATAGGCAAAGGTAATATTCTTCACTCTAGAACAGAATACAACTTAATATGCATACTTTAATGTTATATTTATAAAGACCACTCAACTATGATTCTAATAACAAAAATTTTTTTATCATCTTCAAATTACCAAATATCCAACTTATAATTAGATAAACTAACATAGTTCCCTCATCAAAGGTCTAAACAGAATTTCTTAAAAGAATTAATTGCTCTAAAATTTAGATGAAGGAAGTCTTTGTATGCTGTTTCAATGAATCATTTATGTAACAATAAAAAATCAAATTCAGATAAGTTCAATTAAATTATAACTTAAAAAAAAAAAACATCAAATTTTTTTTTGGTACCAGGAATTGAACTGTGGACCTTTCACTTTCGAGGCAGGCGCTGGAACCACTGAGCTAAATCCCCAGCCCTAATTTCTATTTTTTGAAAAAATTTAAAAACCAAAAGTTAGTGTGCTTCTGAATTACTTCAACTGAGTAAAAAGGGCACATGTGTTGATTTTGGAGATCAGGGTTGTCACTCAGGAACTTGGAATCTACAAATATGGAATGGTGGAAGACAAGAAAGAATTCTATGGAAAGCTGGGCACCATGCCATGGGCCTGTAATCCCAGAGATTCAAGAGCCTGGGGCAGAAAGATCACTTGAGTCCAGGAGTTCAAGGCTAACCTCAAATCACCCCTCCTTACAATAAAAGAATTCTGTGGAGATGGATGGGGATTAGCACTATCTGTGTGAACTTAGGATACCTAAAGGATGTATAGGAAACATATATGTAAATGTGTTATGGCTTGTGTCTAGATGTCCTCCCAAAGCCTCATGCAGTCATAGGTGGGCTTTTTCGGGGGGTGGGGGTGGATCTACAGTATGTGATGCTGAGATTGATTCACGGTGCAATGCTAGATCAAGGGCACTAGAATTAAGGGTGTGAGTGCTACCTGCCCTAAGTAACCTGGATAAGATATAAGGGACAGAAAGAGCTGTGGTTGCCCCTTGCTTCCTTTGCTACCCTCTGCCTGCCATGAACTGTTTCTCCTCTGCAGTGCCCCTCTGCCATGCCACCCTGTCTTAGAGCCAGCTGATTACGGACTGAAACCTCTACAAACTATGAGCTAAATAAACTTTTCCTCCTTTAACTTTGGGTGTTGGGTATTTTGTCCCAGGAACAAGAAAAAGGAACTAAGAATTTGGTACCAGAGTCATTGCTGTGATTGTACCTGACCATGTGGTTTAGGAGCCTTTGGGAATGTATTGTGGGATGAGTTTGGAAAGGCTTGGAGATACTGGCTTAAAAAAGTAGAGCTGGAACACCTCGGGCAGTACTTGCTAGGAGATTCTAGTCAGAGCTCAGAAGAGCAGAAGGCTGACAGAAATCTTGCTAGTAAAGACCAGGCTCGGGAAGTTTCTGCTGTGAAGAAGTACTGCATTGGCTGTTGGATGACAAACAATGTGTGTTATACCTTGGCAGAAATTTTGTCTGCATTTTGCTCATGTCCAGAGACTTTGCCTGAGACTAAGATTAAGGGCAGTGGACTACTTAATCTTGGAGAAGAAATTTCAAGGCAGTCTAATGTTGAGGCGGTAGCATGGCTCCTGTTGGGGGCTTTAAGCCAGATTTACATTGAGAATCAAGAACAAAGAGCCCAGCTGAATGATTTAAAACATTTTGAGTTTGGCCCAAAAGGAAGCTCCATTAAAGTTGCAGCCTGAAAAGATGGAACAGAGGAGAAACTGGTTGCTGAAAAGACTAGCAAGAAAAAGCCAAGTATTTTAGAAGTGGAAAACAGAAAAAATGGCCTGGGGACAACACAAGAACCAGCAAGACTCCAGGCTTTGTAGCCTCAGAATTGCAAAAGTGAAAGACTGCTTTGAGAAGAGAGTCCCAGAGCACCATGTTCCAGAATGGCAATGGCCTAGGGAAGTTGTTCATCAGGATTTGGTTCATAGGCAGTCAACCTCTACAGCCAAGAGAGAAGGAAGCCTGGTTACTGCTCCAGCTGGCAGCAGACCTTGGAATCATCTCCACGGTGCTGGTTTTATGAGCATGCATAATGCAAGAGTTGTGGGGTCAGGAAGGCTTCCACCCAGATTTCAGAAGAAGGCCTGGGAAACCCGGCAGTGTGCCCCAGAGGGCAGTGTGTGAAGAAGCTGTGGGTGTGAAGCCGAAGGTGTAGTGGAGACCCCAGAAGTTTAGAGAAGCCAGGAACATGGATCATCTGAGGAAAACAGCAAGGAGGGAGCCAAGCTGGCTCAAGAGAGAAGCCTTGGGAGCTACAACCACTGGCAGTGCCATAGGGGTGGAGCCACCCAAGCCCTTTGGAATTCACTTTTTGCCACAGATTGCCTTGGATGCTGCACATGGAACTACAGGACTTAATGTTTGATCTGCTGGATTTAGGACTTGCTTTGGTCCCATTCCTTTCTATCTCCCTATTTGAACCTTTTGGACTGGAAATGTCTATCTTATGCCATTGCATGTTGGAAGAACTTTTTTTTCATTTGTACTCTTAGCTTGCAGCTAAGAGTTTGCCTTAAATCTCAGAGGAGACTTTGGACATGAACTTTTCAGCAATGCTGAAACTGTTAGGACTCTGACAACTCTTAGAAATGGACTGAATGCCTTTTGCACAAAGGAATGTGCATGAGTTTTTGGGTGGCCAGGAATGGAATATTATGGCTTGTGTCTAGATGTACTCCCAAGCCTCATGCAGTCTTTTTTCCCATGAACTTTAAAGTTAACTTGACCGTTACCACAAAAAAATCATATATTTTTATGTGAACCATGTAAAACTTATAAATTAACCGAGGGAGAACATGTTTATAATGTTGAATCTTTATATTTAAAAAAGTACATGTTTTTCTATTTGTTAAAGTTTATGTTTACCTCCTTCAGGAATATTTTAAAGTTTTTGTGGTAAATCTTGTGCATTTAACAGGTTTATTCTGAATATTTTATACTTTTTTCTACTGAAAGTAGAGTATTTTCATCCAGTATGTCTTCTACTTAGCCATTGTTTATACAGACAAAAATATATTTCTTTAGATTATGTTTACTTTGTTGAATTTTCCTATTATTTATAGTTTTCATTCTCCTCTTTTATGGATATAACTATTTAAGGTAACCATTTTTAGTTTTGAATTATGTAAATGTGTTACATAGTTTAAAAATTAAATTAAATTTTAAAAATTAAGAGAAACCAAACCACTACATATAATTTTGGCAATTAAAAAAATTTTGGCGAGAAGAATATGGTATGTGGATTGAATGTAAGCTGACCTCAATAACCAAATACTGAAATATTCCCACTTTTCCTTAAGCCCTCACCTTGAAAGGAATCCAGTTTAGCTTTAATTAGCATTCTTAACCTTCCTACTTCTTGCCTTTTCAGTTCGTCAAGTTTTGTCCTCACGTGGTGACTTACCAAGTCCAGCTCTTTGCTTAGCTTCCCACTCTGTAAACAAAATTAACAGTTTTATCTATTACATTCCATTTTAGATCTGATGCAACATACTAAAAATAAGGTTATAATAAATTAACAATAAATACTTGGACTAGTTTAGATAAATTTAACATTATAAAAGGCATTTCTATCAGAAGAGATTCAGTTCGGAATCCTAAAATCAAGATGTCTAACAATCATATAACTTAGAAAAGTATAAAGAACAGAGAAGAAACTTAAAAAGCTGAATTGTAAAATGGTGTCGCCACTTTGGAAAGTACTTTGACAGTGCCTCAAAAAATTAGAAATAGTTATCAGATGACCCAACAATTCCTTTCCTGGGTATATACCTAAGAGAAGTGAAAACATGTTAACACAGTTAACTTGAACATAAATGTTCACAGCAGCATTATTCATACTAAAATAAGTAGAAACAACTCAAATAGCCATCAACTGATGAATGGATAAACAAAATCTAGGGCAGTCCTCCCTCAGCATCCACAGGGGATTGGCCCCAGGACACTCTGTGAATACAAAAATCCAGTGACGTTTAAGTCCCTTATGTGAAATGCCGTGGTATTTACACATGACATATGCAATATCCTCCTATATATTTTAAATCACCTTCAGGTTACTTATAATACCTAATACAATGTAGATGCTATGTAAAGAGCTGTTATACTGTATTGTTTAGGGAATAATGACAAGAAAGAAATCTGCACAGATGGATATTTTTTCTGAATGTTTTTGATCTAAGGTTAGTTTAATCCACACATGTGGACCTAACTCACACACATGAAGGGCTGACTGTATATTTGTACAATGGGATATTATATAAAAGAGAAGAAGAAAATGCTAGCCCATGTTATAACACAGATGAACCTTGAAAACATTATGCTAAATGAAAGAAGACAGAAAATGACCACATATCATGATGATTCTATTTATATCAAATGTCTAGAATAGGCAAATCCATAGGGTCAGAAAGTAGATTAGTTGTGGCTGGAGAGAGGAAATTGGAAGTGACTACTGTACTTAATGGATGTAGGGTTTCTCTTAGGGTCAATGAAAATGTTTTAAAATTAGATAGTGATGATGACTGTATGGTTCTGTGGATATACTGGAAATGGCTGAATTGTATGCTTTAAGCGGTGAATTTTATAGTATATAAATTATATCTTAAAGTTGGTTTTTTTTGTTGTTTTTTTTGGTGCCAGGGATCGAACTCGGGTCCTTGCGCTTGCGCAGCAGGTGGCGATTAAAGTTGTTTTTTGTTTTTTGGTTTTTTTTTTAAAGTTAACTTGCTGTTAGTTCCACATATAAATAGTTTTTCATAATTCACCTTTTTTTAAGTTGTATCCTTTAATCACTTTTTTCTTTTTCTTTTTTTGGTACCGGAGATCGAACTCGGGCCCTTGCGCTTGTGAGGCAGGTGGCAGCACTACTGAGCTAAATCCCCGGCCCTCTGATCACTTTTTTCATGGGTGAGTGATTACAGCTAGGAGAATATACTGTTTTTCATTTGTTTTTAGTGCTGGGGATAGAACCCAGGGCCTCACACGTTAGGCAAGCATTCTACTACTGAGCTGCATACCTAGCCATTTTTTAATTTTTAGACAGGATCTCACCGAGCTTGCCAGGCTAGCCTCCAACCTGCAATCCTCCTGCCTCAGCCTCCCAACAAGCTAGGATTATAAGCATGGGCCATCCCATCCAAATAGACTTGTGCTGTTATAGATGTAAAAAGAGAAGTATATTTTAAGGGTAGAACAGTCACTATTATCAGGTAAAAGATCGGCTGTTAAACTGTGGTCCCCAACTGGAGGCATCAGCATCATCTAAGGACACTAGCAGGACAGGCTCCAGATGTACCACATCAGAAGCTCTGTAGGGGGTGGGGCGTGGTGGCACACACTTGTGATCCCAGCACTCAGGAGGCTGAGGCAGGAGAAGCATTACAATTTCAAGGCTAGCCTGGACCACATCGTGAATTTAAGGTCAGCCTGAACTACATAGTGAGACCCTGTCTCAAAAAAAAAAAAAAAAGATCTGTGGCCCGGGGGAGGGGGGGTCAGAAATATGTGTTTTAACAGCCTAAACGCTGAAGACTACTGAGATAAAATAAAGGGCCCCAGAAAGATAAGCAGTAAAAGGGGTTATGGTATTCACTGGATTGACAATGAAGAAGTTATTAACACTCTCCATGAAAATATATTCAGCAAAGCAGTAAAGGCAAAGCCATAATCTTCCCCCATTTGTTTGTCTTGGATTTGTACTTATTTTTTTTCTCATTTTCATTAGTATATGTTTGTGGTACACAATGATTATATTCACCGTGGGGAGGTGGTACATGTATACAACATATCTTATTTCTTTTTACTTCCCTTCTCCCTCCATCTATTGGTCCCATTCCCATCTGCAAAAGGAGTTAGGGAATACTTGGAAAGTGAAGAGATATAATATGCTTCTCTTTTCAAAATTCTTAGCTCAAAAAAAAATGAATGAATTTTACATTTACTTCTGAGACAAGAGTATTTGCTTGGCTACTTATGATGATTCTGTTACTTTGACTTTTATTGTCTATTACATCCTTCTTCCTTTTTCGTTGTACTACTACTTGACTTCATTTTTCCTCCTTCATAAGTAACAGAAATTAACTGGGGAAGGAAAGAAAATATAAAAGTTATAGTATTTTTATAAATAAAAGAACTTAACTTTTTTCCCCTGAAATCTCTTTATAGTACCTCCCAAGATCTACATTTTCTGTTACTCCCGAATAATGCTTTTAATCTTAAATTCAGCTGGATAGAAGACATTGAGAGTTCTACATTAAATATCATTCACCCTAGAAAATTAGTTCCACAGATCAAATTAATCTTTCAGAGGAAGAACAAGATTATCCTCAAAGATAATTCAGAGGAATTATTGGCATAACATTGTTACTTTTTCCCCAGAACAGGTCATAACTTCCAAGAGGAAAACAGTGAGCTAAAAGCCATACATAAACTCTAATAAATACCACAACCTGATATGAACCAGTCTGACAAAGAAGCCCATACTTGGGACAGAGACTAAAGTAAATAAGCAAATAAAACTATCTTAGGAGGCATAGCTGAAAGTTTAAAATTAGAAACATTTTTTACTTGTTGAATTTAAAATGGACCCCACTAAACTGATACATTTCCCTTCAATGAAAATCTTTAAAAGAATCTCCCATGTCATATCTTTACAACTGCCTTAATTTTTTGTGTGTGTGTGCCAGGGATCAAACTCAGGACCTTGCCCTTGCCAGCCAGGCGCAGTGTCACTGAGCTACACCCCCAGCCCTCCCTTAATTATTACGAATACTAAGGAACTGTCCAAGCTATGGTAGGGTTCTCAGAAGAGAAGCAAATGTTTATTCCTCCCCTACTGACATAAGATATAATCCATTAACTCTCCTGCTAATCTGGACCTAATTAAAGACATCAGAATCGAACCTATACTGCACCTTTGAAATCTTCCTGCTATCCTCAGATCAAAATCCCACCTCTTTATCTGATATACAAGACCCTCTGTCATCCGATCCATGACTCTCCAACCTCATCTTTTGGACACTCATGGCCCCTCATTTCTCACTGTGGGGTCCAGCAACAATTACTACCTCATTTCCTATAGACCGCTTGTCTCTGAACACTTGCTTCTTTGCCTAGGATGCCATCCAGCCCCTCTCCTTTTCACAGTTTGGTCTTTAAGCTCTGGCATCACCTCTACTAGGAAGAATGACTTCATACCTTTCTCTGCTGCTTCATACTGGATTATGTGTCTGTCCTTCACATCTCTGTAATCTATTAAAACTCAACATATATCCATCTGGCTAATCTATTTCTGGATGATTTTCCCTTAAGGGCTCTTTAAGGTAGGAATAAGTCTCATTTACATATATATCCCCAGTATTCAGCTCAGGAGCTGCCATGCTCAAATGTTTATTAAATAAGTATTTAATTACACTTACCTTTATTTCCTCTATGTCTGCTTTCTGAAGCTTTTCTCTGAAATGTTTATCTGTTTCCAGCACATCAATAACTTGCTTGAGATATTCATCATAATAAAGTCCAGTATCCTTCAAATTAAGAAACAAATAGTAATGTTTCTGAAATTTTTTCTTTGTCTGAATCCAAAATTTTGATCTTGAAAAACAGTATCTGGCAAAGTGACATTAAGATATCTACTTTGATAGTTTCAACAGTTCAGATGAAAAAGTTATATTTCTTAAAGAGTTTTCTATCATAGCTAATATTATCTTTTATTGTAACATAAAGGTAGATTTCCTATATGGCTTAGAGGTTCCAGCCATGTCCAACCTGTGCCCCACTTTTTTATTTTATTGTCCTGGCTTGCATATAAAATATATAATATAGTTAATGCGTATAAGTAACAAAATTTCTTTTACCTTTAAATTTTTATGATAACATTTAAAAGACAGGGCAAAACAAAAAAAAAAAAGATGGGCTGTAGATTGGATAAGACTAGTAGACAATAACCAGCAACAATTGTTTCTTTCCCATTGTCATATGTCTCACCTTCGAATATAACACAGTGTTTCCTTGGCTTAACACCTAAGGTGTTTATGACTAACTCTTCCATGTACTAATTTAACGAACATTAACTAAGATTAAACAATACATGCTTCTCCAATATGCTCTTCACTGCTGTTTCAGAAATAGTTCCTAAATGCCCAACTTTCTATGTAATAAATAATAGCAATATTTTACTTATAATTCTTCCCATTTTACTTCAGTTATAATTTACTTCACCTAGTTATAATTCCTTCCACTTTACTTACTGGTGGTTCTATCTTTGCACTTTCCACAGGTTCAGTATTTTGTACTTTTGTCTTGTCGATGTCTATAGGCACAGCTTGAAGAGCAGCAAGTAGACATGTGACCAAGAGAAAACAATAGCATAGTGGAATGGTCCTCCACCTCATCTGAAATAAAGGAATGATTATGGTAAAGTCATGAAAAGATGCATTTCCAATGTTGCATTTATAATATATCCAAATCTCAAAAGGTTTAATATGACAAAAAATTCTAGGAAAGGGGTAAATATTGAGTATAATTTATCAAAAATGATGCTTAAATTAGTAAAGAAAATCAGAGAAATGTTTTTAGCCAAAATTAAAAAGGACACAAAATTTTGAAGTCTAAACTGCTTATAGAAGAAAACATCTAAAGCCAGGTGTGGTGGTGCACATCTGTAATTGTCACTACTCAGGAGATTGAGTCAAGAGGATCATAAGTTAGGCCAGGGATTTAGCTCAGTGGTTCTGCCGCCTGCCTCACAAGCACAAGGTCCTGAGTTCAATCCCCGGTACCAAACAAAAAAAAAAAGGATCATAAGTTAGAGGGTAGTCTGAGCAACTCAGAGACACCTGCCTCAAAATCTGAAAAAGGGGAGTGGGGTGGAAAAACAGCTTAATGGTATAGCACTTGCCCAACATGCACAAGGCCCTGGATTTAATCCTTATTCAGTTACTTTATTGTAGCAAGTAGTTATTTGTTAAAAAAATCTTTATGGTCAATACATTTTTCAGTAAAAAAGGTCAATAAATTACCAAGTAGAATATAAGGGAGTTGAAACAAAAGAGCAACAGCTACTGCTACTCTCACAATATTTTTCAAATTTTGTTTATTCAGTTTCCATTCAATAAAGATCTAAGTAGCTCCAGAGGATGCATTACAAGAATAAGAATGAAAGCAGGCACAGTACTGCGTATCTGTAATCCCAGCACTCTGGGTGGCTGAGGTAAGAGGATCATGAGTTGGAGCTGGGTAATTTAGTGACTTAGCAAGACTTTGTCTCAAAATAAAAAGTAAAAATGGGTGGAATGTAGCTTAGCACAAAGGCCCTGTGTTCAATTCACAGTACCAGGAAAAAAAAGGAGGAATAAAAACTTCGCATATGATTATGATTTTATACATGTCTATTATGATAGGGTTCAAGTCAAGGGATATAGTTCAGTGGTAGTGAATGCCTAGCATGTGTGAGGCCCTGGGTTAAATCTCAGTACACACACACACACACACACACACACACACACACACACACACACAAACAGGAAGAGGGGAGTTAAAGGAGAAGAAGAATGGCTGGGCCATTCATCTGGAATAGCCATTATTTAACTTCACAATCTCCTGAACTTAACTGGCTATGAGCTTTGTTTTTGTTGCTGTGGTTTTTGTTGTTGTTGTTTTAGATTGGTTGGCTTTTAGGTAACATGCTTTTCCTCACAGATCACACTTTGGAAAACAATTCATAACTTCATTTTGTCTCAATCCTTGGTGGCATACAGGGTACTGGCTTTTTACAAATGAACAAATTAATAATTAAACCAATTCCCTTACAGAACATTGTCTTTCATTAATAAAACCACTAAAACTTCACATTTTAGAGCAATTTCTTCATTAATTTTTTAGCATTTTTATTGAGATATATATTTCACATGCCATAAAATTCACTCATTTAAGGTACAGAACTTGTCTAATCTAGGAGGATGCTACTCAAAATTTAGTTCCCCAACTTGCTGGATCGGATCACCGGGAAGCCTGTCAGAAATGTCAGTTCTCAGTGACACTCAGGAATCTGCTTCAACAAACCTTTCAGGTGATTCTGATGTATATGGAAGCCTGAGGACACCAGCTCCTCAATCATAATTCTTCTGAGTAAATGTTCTTCATGGTAAAATGTTTGAGCCATGTTGGCTAAATGATGCTAAATAGGTTTTCAGTTTTGCAACTTTCAGAACTTGTGAGGGGTTACTGGGCATCATGAATCATCTCTAATAGGATGATTTATTTCTCCATAAAATGTCTCCCCACTATGAATCACTTTTTCCCCACAATCATTTTTTAATGACAACAAAGGTTTCTCATTCATGCTTGTGCCCACACATGTAGTTGTTTTGATTTTGTTGACATATAACTTTTACCAGTTATAATTCAGTGTCTTTTTTTTTTTTTTGGTACATTCACAAGGCTGTGCAACCCTCATCACTATCTATTTTTATAACATTTCATCAATCTGAAAAGAAACCCTATACTCATTAGCAGTTGCTCCCTATTCCATTTCCCCTATGCCCTAGTAGCTACTAATCTCCTTTCTGCCTATATAGATTTGCTGGTTCTGCACATCCCAGACAAATGGAACCCCACAGTATGTGGTCTTTTGTGTCTGCCTTTTTTCACTGAGCAGCATGTGTTTAGGATTCAACTATGTTGTGACATACATTAGCACTTCATTACTTTTTAGAGCTGAATAGATATTCCATTGTATACATATACCATATTTGTTTATTCATTTTTCAGTGGATGGACATTTAGATGGTTTCTACTTTGGGGCTGTTTTAAATAATGCTGCAGTGAACATTTGTGTTCAAGCTACCGTGTTAACATGTTTTCAGTTATTTTGGTCATACACATTCGGGAATACAATCCCTGGGTCATTTTGGTAAACTCTGTTTAACTTTTTGAGGAATTGCCAAACTGTTTTCCAAAGTAGCTGTATCATTTTACATTCCCACCAGTAATATACACAATGTGGTTGAAATATATAGTTAATGCCTAATTTTTTTTAAAAAGGGTTACAATGAAACATTACCATTAATTCCTCTCAAAATACTTCCCCTTGCTTGAAGCACAATTATCCCATTGTTCTTGCCACTTTGTGAAGCAATTCTGGAAGTGCTCTTTCATGAGTGTCTTTACAAGGTGTGACTGAAGATATTGTGAATGCTGCTGCTGCTGGATGTCATCCAATAGAAAGGTAGGCTCATAAAAACACTGCAGTGTGCGCATATTCCCAAAGTTAAATGACCATAAAAGGTAAATGTTTTGAATCCATTCAGAACATGCTGACAGCACAACTAAAGACACTCACCAAAGAATACTTCAGGAGTACTTCAGAAAGGGTCAACAATGGGATAAGTGTATTCAAAGTGAGGGAAAGTATTTTAAGGGGGATTAATGGAGATGTGTCTTTTACTGTAATTTCTAAAAATTTAAACAGTCCCTGTATTTTTCAATCACACCTTGTATGAAGTCTCTAATTTCTCCAGGTCCTTCCATGTGTTACTGTCCTTTTTGCTGGCTCACACTCTTGTGCCAAGTCTACCATAAATAGAAGACAAGAGAGAAACGTGTTTGCATATATGTGTGTGTATGTGTGCATATGTGCACACGAATTTGTCCTAACAATTCAAAGTGACAAAATCACCAAAAGTCTCTACTCTAAAACACTGACTGAATTTATGGTTCATAAACATTTGATCCCTAGGCTTATTATAAATAACAGTAGAAAATACCTACTGAGTGTTTTCTATGGATCAAGCAACATGCTAAACATTTTTATGTTAACTCATTTAAGTCTACAACTCTGTAAAATACTACTATCCCCATTTTAAAATACAAGAAGTGGAGACATACTCTTTGCTCCATACCACACAACAGTGAGACATACAGCCAGGGTTAAGACCTGGCAGTGCCACAAGCCAAAGTTTATGTCTGCTTTTAAAGAGTGGTTCTCAAAGTGTGATTCCTGAGCCTGCAACATCAGCATTCCTTGGGAATTTGCTAGGAATGCAAATTCTCATGGCTGACTCCAGACCTAAATCAGGGACTCCGGAATAGGGGCCCCATAATCTGTGTTTTAACAACCCCTTAGATTATTCTGATGCATGCTGAAGTTTGAAAACCATTACTCTAGAACATACTGCCTTCCTTTGCTTTATTGTTTACTAACCTCTCTTAAAATAAGAGACAAAGAGAATGCTTATCTCCAAAGTAAATTTGGATCCTTAAAAAATATAAAAATGGCTCTTTAACCTAACAATAAAGCAGAATTAAATTAGGTGTATACTGTAATTTGAGTTGTACCACATACTTGCTATGTGATCACAGGTTAATTAATTTCTTACTCCACTTCAGTTTTTTCATTCATAAAAATAAAGGCTGGCTTTGAACTCACTATGTAGTCCAGGCCAGCCATTAACTATGTAGACCAGGCTGGCCTCAAACTGAAGATGTTCCTGCCTGCCTCAGCCTCCCAAGTGCTAGGATTAGAGGCATTTGCCACCATGTCAACTAAGGAATTTTTTTTTTTTAAGGGAATTTCACTAGACCTCATTGTGCTACTAAATTCTCTTATGTAGTTATTCTCAGCTTAAATTCATCTATTTATTCTTTTGAATAAAAGTATAGATCTTTTCTGTTACCTACTCAGAAATACTAATAAAATAGCTTGTACTCACACCAACTATATAAAATGATTAATTTATATGATTTATATTGCCTTTAATTATTGCTTATTCAACAAAATTAAACTTATATTGGTAGAGCAAGAAGCAGGTTTGGGTGATGAACTATAAAGTTTAACAGTAACCAAAGATTAACAGCAACAAAAATCAACTATCAACTATGAAAAGAAGTTCATGTCCAGATACAATTTAAAAACAGGAAATCATCACAATTGCAAACAGGTGCGAAATGTTACACCCTCTAATCAAAGTTAGATCTGGTTTCTGTGGAAGTAGGAAAAAAAAACAAATTTAGAGATTGTCAGAACTGCATCTCATTCAAGTTGGATTTATTTTTAACTTTTGCAGGAAAGAGACAATGAATTGTTACTGCCACTTCAAAACCAAAAGCTATTTCACTTATTGATAATTTTACAGGACAAAAGACTGAGATTTTAAAGGAGAAACTTGTTTGTTTTGAAATCAAATACAACAGAACTGATTAATAAAATACCACCAAAGCCAAACATGGTGGCACAGTCCTATAATCCCAATACTCTAGGAGGCTGAGGCAGGAAGAAACAATGTAGTGAGATCCTATCTCAAAGAAACAAAAACAAAAACAAAACAAAACACCCAGAAGCAAAATGACACATATGATATGGTTTGGCTTACATAAAATAGGCAAATCCATAAAG